TATTTATCTAATCTGTAATATATTATTTCAATAAATGAATTTTTTTATATTTGATTACATAATTATAATTTTATTATTCAAAAATAAAAAATGTCTATATAAACTATTTTTAATAATTTTTTATTTTTAAGAATAATTTTCATGCAAATACTTGCCGATAAAAAAAGATATATAATAAATATTTTTTTAAAAAATTATAATAATCTAAAATTTTATCGAAATTAATTATTATCACTTTGTTACTTATTTGTTTTTAAATCATAAAAAAATAACAGATTTATATAAATAATTTTTGAAAAAAAATTTCTTTAGAAGATTATATTATAATTTCTTAATATTTTTTATAATGTAAATATTTTCTTAGATTATGTATAAAATTATATAACATTTTTTTATAGGTTTTGTTTCTTTTGTTTTTCATTATTTGAATTTTTTAAGAATGTATAATATATTAATTCAAGATAGGACACAGAATTAAATATATTATAACCATTTTTTTAATCAATGATAATGATTATTATTATTTAAAAATAAAAGAAACAAAATGATATGATAAATATAAATAATTCTTAAGAAAATTTTTAATTATCATGATAGATATATCTTTTTTTTCTTTCAATAATTCTCATAAATATTCTAAACATACGAGAATAATAAAATTTATAAAAAAAAATTTTAAAAATGTTTCATTGAGATAATAAAAAAGGTAATAAAATAAAATCATTATAAAATGATTATTATTATATATCAATCATAATCAGTATTTGAAAGAAACAAATATTATTTTATTATTTATTAAACATTTTTTTAGTTCCAATTCTCAGGATTTGATGATAATAAAAAATTTGTTGAATTAACAAGGTCATTTTGTATTAATGGTGAATTAATAATTGATATTTAGCATAATTCATATTAACTTCAATATATTATAATATAACATTGTATAGTAATTTATATTTAGTTAAAAATATGATCGATTTAAGATATCTTTAGAAGCTTAAAAATTTGTTCCATTAATTCTATCATATTAGAATTTATTATGTAATTTACTGGTATCCACTATTATACTGTACTACTATTGTAATTTAAAAATAGAAAAATAAATTTAAATTAATAAAAAAAAGTAAAAGTTATAACTATAATTAACATGAGTAATATATGGGAAAATTTTTTTAGTAATTAAAAACAACAATATGGGATAATAATTAAAATTTGTTTTCAATTTTAAGAATGATTTTCTTCTTTTGCCATAGTATATATTATAACATCAATCATTATATTTTTTAATTGTATTTCATATTATGCACTGTTTTTCATATTATATCTGTGTTATCCCGTATTTTTTATTTAAGAAATATAGGATCAAAAAAATAATTATAAATTTATAATTATTTTATATATATATTCAATACTCATTCAATATAATATATATTCAATATTCATTTATATTGCAATATTTTTTTAATTCTTTATGAGATCTGACAATATATATTAAATTATGTATCTGACAACTTATATATTAAATTATGTATCTTCTTGCTAAATATCATTCTTACGTTTAAGTACATACTTTTCTTGAAAAAGTATATTAACTAACATGTATCTTGTTTATTCTTCTATCTTAAGATGATTTTGAAAATGATTTTGAAAATTTACTTATATTACTCTCAATATTATTAATATAATATCTAATAAAAAATAATTATTGGAAAATCCTCCTTATTAACTTCTATGATTTTTTATTGTTTTTAAAAGAAGTTAAAAAAGGTATTTTTTAACAATATAATGGCATCAAGTAATAGAATAAAAACTTTGAAATTTATGTCACAAAATCATTTTCAAAATATATATATATATATTTTCTTTTTTTTTTTTTATAATCTTGGAGCCAGTAAATTTGATAAAATATGAATTGTTAAAGATATCTTTAATCTTATTCCTATGTGTGTAAAACGTAAGAAACTTATGCAACAACAATATGGCAATTGGAGCATTATAGTGATGTCTAGTGTGCTAATGTGGTTGTGTCTTGTCTGTTGTGTCGTCAGCAAGAGCACGCAGGCTTGAATCCTACCGAGTCCATGACACGTGCATTGATTAGTGATGATAATATCGCCCGCCAGACTGCCCTTGGTCCTGTCCAATTGGGGTATGTACTCCGTATCTAGTAAATCCTTCCCATACGTTATTATGTATCCTTCAAAATTCATTCAACAGAATTTATTATTAATTTAACAATTTATATCAAGTTTTATATTTACCGCTATTTTTATAATATACTTTCTAATTATTTTTATTAAATTTAAAATTTTAGAAAACTATTTACATGTTCAAGGAATATATGAAATCTGAAAAAGATGGTACACTTTGGAACAAAAATATGCATTTTATATAAAGAATGTGCAATAATAAATGAAAAATTTCAACAACAAATTCAGCAATTTTTTTTGTAAAGAAAGACTGAATCATTTTTTATCTAATTAAATAAATGATCAATTATAATATTAATTATTATTATTATTATTTTATTATTAAATGAACAGAAAAAATTATTTTATTATTAAATGAAGAAAAAATATAAAAAGATTATTTTGATGAATAGATTCTTTGTATTCTTAAGGTTTTCTACCTTGACTTCTTTCTATCTTGGCTATAATAATGTCATCTGACAACATTATACTGATCAATTTCAATATTAATCTAAGCTATGATTAGAATTTTGTAAAGTAGCATATTAAGATAAAAGATTCATTTAAATGAATGAAATATTCCAAACCGTATATTTTTTTTCATGTTCATATTCTTTCAGATCATTTCTTTCAGATAATTATTTAATAAACATAAAAAAAATATTTTAGAAATATCATATGATAAATTATTTATTATTCTTCGTAAACGCAATTTTTTAAATACTGAATCAGTCTTTAAAATAATTCTCACTTATTATAAAATATCCTATGTAAAAATAAATTGAAGATATATAGAATCTTTTCATAAACAATTTAATTTTATAAAAAAAATAAAATTTAATCATTCATTGAGTGCTCATGAACTTAACTATCTCCTAAATTTATGCTTATATTTTATTATGTTCTTCTATTATATAATCTCTAGTAAATTTTATAAATAATCATATCAGATATAAAAATTAATTCAATGCCTTACTACATTAAATAATTTATAATTTTGATTTAAATATTTATAATTCATTTTGATATAAAAAATTATGATTTCTTTGATTTTAAACTAACATAAGAATAATAAATTTGATAGGAAAATATTGTTCAGTGCTTAGAATACGACAAGCCTTTTTGGCTATATTTTGCAAATAGACAATAGTATTTCTTTGAATTAGAAAATTCAATTTACTTCCTTAACTTATTACAATTAACTTTTAGCTTTATTTGATTATTTATTCAAATCATTTCACATCATTTGACAAGCATTTCCAAATATTGAAAGAGCTACAAGAAAGCATTGATAACTATATTACTAATTATAATAAACGTTGGACAAGTGCCTATAATTCAAACTATACATTTATGAAATAGTAGTATTGGAATTTAATCTTGATCAGGATTGCTAAACAAATATTTTCTATCTAAAAAGATTAGGAAAAATAGAGATATAGAACATATATTAAAACAAATATATTTATTATTTGAATAAAATTCCTTTTTTAAAAATATATTAAAAATTTAAAATATTTTTTTTTCATCTCCATTTTTTCATCTCTATTTTTCCCATTATTATTTTTTTTCATTTATTCTTTCATTTATTTTTTCTTATTTTCATCATTTTTCGTCGAGAAAAATTATTTTGTTAATTATTTGGAATTATATTTGAAGTTTTTTTTTTT